GAAAATCGCGCGGTTTTTGGCCGGTAGCGGCGAAAATCGCGCTATTTTTGGCCAGTAGCGGCTAAAATCGCATAGTTTTTGGCCGCTAGCGGCGAAAATCGCGCGATTTTTGGCCGCTAGCGGCGAAAATAGCCCGGCGAAAATTTTTTGGCCGCTAGCGGCGAAAATCGCGCGATTTTTGGCCGGTAGCGGCGAAAATCGCGCGATTTTTGCCCGCCAGCTGTTAAAATCGCACGGTTTTTGGCCGCTAGCTGCGAAAATCGCGCGGTTTTTGGCCGGTAGCGGCGAAAATCGCCCGATTTTTGGCCGCTAGCGGCGAAAATCGCACGGTTTTTGGCCGCTAGCGGCGAAAATCGCGCTATTTTTGGCCGGTAGCGGCGAAAATCGCGATTTTTGCCCGCCAGCTGCGAAAATCGCATGGTTTTTTGGCCGCTAGCGGCGAAAATCGCGCGGTTTTTGGCCGGTAGCGGCGAAAATCGCGCTATTTTTGCCCGCCAGCTGCGAAAATCGCATAGTTTTTGGCCGCTAGCGGCGAAAATCGCGCGATTTTTGGCCGCTAGCGGCGAAATTCGCACGATTTTTGGCCGCTAGCGGCGAAATTCGCGCGATTTTTGGCCGCTAGCGGCGAAAATGGCGCCATTTTTGGCCGCTAGCGGCGAAAATCGCGCCTTTTTTGGCCGCTAGCGGCGAAAATCGCGTCGATTTTTGGCAGGTAGCGGCGAAAATCGCGCGATTTTTGTCCGCCAGCGGCGAAAATCGCATGGTTTTTGGCCGCTAGCGGCGAAAATCGCGCGGTTTTTGGCCGGTAGCGGCGAAAATCGCGCGATTTTTGGCCGGTAGCGGCGAAAATCGCGCGGTTTTTGGTCCTTCTGCCCTCTGTACGCACTGTTAGGGGTCGTGCTGCCCTCTGCAAACACTGTTAGGGGTCCTCCAGCCCTCTACACACACTGTTAGGGGTCCTGCTGCCCTCTACGCACACTGTTATGGGGTCCTACTGCCCTCTACACACACTGTTAGGGGTCCTACTTCCCTCTACACCCACTGTTAGGGATCCTACTGCCCTCTACACACACTATTAGGGGTCCTACTGCCCTCTACACACACTGTTAGGGGTCCTGCTGCCCTCTACACACACTGTTAGGGGTCCTGCTGCCCTCTACACACACTGTTAGGGGTCCTGGTGCCCTCTACACACACTGTTAGGGATCCTACTGCCCTCTACACACACTGTTAGGGGTCCTGGTGCCCTCTACACACACTGTTAGGGATCCTGCTGCCCTCTACACACACTGTTAGGGGTCCTGCTGTCTTCTTTTCACTCTGCTAGGGGTCCTGGTGCCCTCTACACACACTGTTAGGGGTCCTGCTGCCCTCTACACACACTGTTAAGGATCCTACTGCCCTCTACACACACTGTTAGGGGTCCTGCTGCCCTCTACACACACTGTTAGGGGTCCTGCTGCCCTCTACACACACTGTTAAGGATCCTACTGCCCTCTACACACACTGTTAGGGGTCCTGCTGCCCTCTACACACACTGTTAAGGATCCTACTGCCCTCTACACACACTGCTAGGGGTCCCGCTGCCCTCTAAACACACTGTTATCGGGCATTCTGTTCTGTCACGTGTAAAACCTGTCTCAATTTACTATCCCTGGTACAGTGGTACTTCCCACTGTACAGCACCACTCTACCCCAGGTACAGTGGAAGAGTATGCGACTGTCAATGCCATGGTCGAGGGTTCGCGCCAATATGCGGATTTTCTCTTTTTAACTAACAGTAAATTTACATCTACAGTATTATCGCCGGTAGTTCAGTATCATCCACGACCTCAGAAACGCATATATCCGAATGTATCTACATCATCATAACTCTTTATAGAATCCTAACATGCCCCTAACCCATTCCGACCCTAACCCATCCCGACCCTAACTCATCACGACCCTAACCCATCACGACCCTAACCCATCCCGACCCTAACCCAATCCGATCCTAACCCGCCCTTGAGGTTATCTTGGTTATCTTTAGATGATTTCGGGGCTTTTTAGTGTCCCCGCGGCCCGGTCCTAGACCAGGCCTCCACCCCCAGGAAGCAGCCCGTGACAGCTGACTAACTCCCAGGTACCTATTTACTCCTAGGTAACAGGGGCATTCAGGGTGAAAGAAACTTTGCCCATTTGTTTCTGCCTCGTGCGGGAATCGAACCCGCGCCACAGAATTACGAGTCCTGCGCGCTATCCACCAGGCTACGAGGCCCCTCCACTACCCTAACAAAAGTAAGAGATCAGTCGTCTTGTTTTCAATGTGGTGTGCACGAAGTGAGTGACGACACTGTGACGTCATAACGTCTATTTAAGTGACGTCATAGTGTTCGTGACGGTACGGGTCGTAGATCCTCCTGGAATAAACAGCCGCCTGACCTCCGTTTTCTCTCGTCATACCACATTACTCAGATGGGAAACTTTACCAATTAATCTATAGCTGTAATTGCCTACTCAACATTTCTTATATATAGTAAAAAACAGATGTATGGTGCACCTACGAATATTCTATCTTACAATATCTCTAATGCATGTATACCATAAATATATGATTATTGTTAATATTATAAAACCTTTAGGTAAATTTGTCATAGAAAACGAAGTTTCAGTAAGTTGAAGGGTCACACTTATATAATTTTCCTGAGTAACAGACGTGACCCAAGATTATTATATTTCAAAGGTATAATAGCAGGATCTCCAAAAACAATTTCCTTTCAAAATAAATGTTGCACATGTAATTTAAATCTATAGCCTTGTTAATTTTATTTTGTTACTTGCATATACACAGAGGAATAGTCAACACATTATATTATATTATATTTATTTTATATATATATATATATATATATATATATATATATATATATATATATATATATATATATATATATTTATTGCACAACTATATTCTACCCACCTCAAGACTCCGCTCCAATATAGAAGCATCAAGAAATATGGACCAATAGGCTTTCTACAAACACTTCTATTCAATACCCATTGTTTGTGTTCTGTCTTGTGTTGATACTTTTAATACCCTATTAATATCCCCTCTTGTTCTGTCTTGTGTTAATGCCACATCACCCCTCCCACCTCACTCAATATATATATATATATATATATATATATATATATATATATATATATATATATATATATATATATATATATATATATATATATATATATATATATATATATATATATATATATACATACATACATAAAAAAGAATACTTTAAATCTCTGTGGCCATAAACTGAGAGTTTACCATAGCTATTGTGTTGATCTTATAATTACCCTTCAGAGGTCATTAGACCTCATAAGCCCAACATCAACCAATTTTTTATATGAACTTTAACCAGTGATTCTTTTTAAACTTCTAGTGACATTACTCAATCACGATAGAAATATTTTGAATATTAATAAATGACAATGAAAATTATTACAATCATAAAAACAATAATAATAATAATAATAATATAGTTATCTTTAACCGCTTTCCCACTCATGGGATGCGGGAGGCATCAATCAAGAGAAATACAAATTTTAGTAAAAATTAAATTTATTACATTCAAGTCAATACAAATAATCCAACAGAAAACAGGAAAATAAGGAAAATGGGAACGTCTTTCCGACTAACCATAACGAGGGGAACTAGGATAAAAAAATAATAATCAGCCTACGTACAAGTAATCAATTCAACTTAAATATCAATGACACAATTATCAGGATAGAAACCTCTGCCCCTCATGACCTCGTGTGGGGCCAAGTGTGGATTATTTACCTACCCTTACCCCCCCCCCTCCCACCTTGGGTCAGCTGTTAATTGTTCCAAGGGTCAGCTGTCGATTATCTCACTTCCCTTTGTCAGCTGTTGTCACAACCAGAGGAGAGGTGTGTGGTGTTTACAACCTGTCTTTGTATAAGAAAATAATTGTCGGTGTTTTTGTTTTAAACGGGGGGAAGGGGGTGATTTAAGCTTGTTTTGTTTATTTTTTTATACCAGGATCATTAACTTGTGTGATGGTGAAAGCTAAATAATTTTGCCTTCTTGTTTTTGCTGTTCGTCTTCATTATCTTCATCCCCTTCTGTACTTGTTCTTGTTGTCTTTGCCTTATGAATAAAGATTGTGTGTATGAGGTGTAAAGATTGTGTGCTGAAGGGGGGGGGGAGGCAGGTACAGGAAGGGGGAGAGGCAGGTACAGGAAGGGGGAGAGGCAGGTACAGGAAGGGGGAGAGGCAGGTACAGGAAAGGGGAGAGGCAGGTACAGGAAGGGGGAGAGGCAGGTACAGGAAGGGGGAGAGGCAGGTACAGGAAGGGGGAGAGGCAGGTACAGGAAGGGGGAGAGGCAGGTACAGGAAGGGGGAGAGGCAGGTACAGGAAGGGGGAGAGGCAGGTACAGGAAGGGGGAGAGGCAGGTACAGGAAGGGGGAGAGGCAGGTACAGGAAGGGGGAGAGGCAGGTACAGGAAGGGGGAGAGGCAGGTACAGGAAGGGGGAGAGGCAGGTACAGGAAGGGGGAGAGGCAGGTACAGGAAGGGGGAGAGGCAGGTACAGGAAGGGGGAGAGGCAGGTACAGGAAGGGGGAGAGGCAGGTACAGGAAGGGGGAGAGGCAGGTACAGGAAGGGGGAGAGGCAGGTACAGGAAGGGGGGGAGGCAGGTACAGGAAGGGGGGAGGCAGGTACAGGAAGGGGGGGAGGCAGGTACAGGAAGGGGGGGAGGCAGGTACAGGAAGGGGGGGAGGCAGGTACAGGAAGGGGGGGAGGCAGGTACAGGAAGGGGGGGAGGCAGGTACAGGAAGGGGGGGAGGCAGGTACAGGAAGGGGGGGAGGCAGGTACAGGAAGGGGGGGAGGCAGGTACAGGAAGGGGGAGAGGCAGGTACAGGAAGGGGGAGAGGCAGGTACAGGAAGGGGGAGAGGCAGGTACAGGAAGGGGGAGAGGCAGGTACAGGAAGGGGGAGAGGCAGGTACAGGAAGGGGGAGAGGCAGGTACAGGAAGGGGGAGAGGCAGGTACAGGAAAGGGGAAGTAGGTAAGGTGAGGGAGGGAAGAAGGTTAAGTGAGAAGGAAATAGGGAAGGTAGACGATTTAATTAATAGGTAAAGAGAAAGGGAGGCGATGAAGTAGGCAAGTATAGAGGAAGAAGGGTGGGGTAGGTAACGTTAGGGAAGGGGGACGTGGGTAAGTAGAGCGAATAGGGAGGTAGATAAAGTGAAGAAATAGAGAATGGGAGCACAGTGACTGAAGACAAAGAGAGGACGACGCATAAAAAAGAAAACAGAGAAACAAGCTTAGAAGAGAGAGATAGAGAATGTAATATATGGAAAACAGGAAGGAAAGCACGATAGGAGAAGGATAACCCAAAGTAGAAGAAAAAGAGAGAGATAAGACACGAACAAAAGGAGGACAAGACAAGGACACACGGAAAAATAAACAATAACAAATGACAAACGGGAAAGATTCAATTACGAAAGAAAGTGTCGCAAACCCAGAGGAATAGAAGGAACGGGAGTGGAACGACCAGGAGGGAAGGATGATAACCAAGGGTGATTAGATGAGGAAAGGACAGTAACTCAAGAGCCTGGAGGGGCAAGTTAAAGATATCAGGACCATAAGGTCGAGATAACAGGAAGATTAAGGCAGAGCCAAACAAAAATGGACGTAAGGGGTAAGCTGTGGAAGGGGAAACTATAGCATTATATAACCTCTTTGGAAGGAACACCAGGGGACTTTTTTGGGTAAGAAAGGGAGATTAGGGCAGGTAGGAAGGGAAAAATAGGGATATATATAGGTAAGAAGGGAGAGGAACCTTGAAAAAAAATGAAGCAGAAAGATAAGGAGAACAGTAGGAAACCTGGATGCAAGGGACCTCCGGTAAGGAGTAGAGGTTGTCGACGTCGATCGGGTGACAAGTGGGGGGCCTTCAGGAGAAGAGGTTGTCGATGTCGATCGGGTGACAAGGAGCCCTCAGGAGTAGAAGTTGTCGACGTCGATCGGGTGACAAGTGGGGGGGCCTTCAGGAGTAGAGGTTGTCGACGTCGATGGGCAGGTAGTCGAGGGAAGGCTCCGGCTCCAGGAGCCCCGGCTCCAGCGGCAAGGCGTCACTGCTCCCGGCGGTTCGAGCCTGCATCACCTCCAGCTGCAAGGGGAGACTTGCGAGGTTATAGAACAGAGGAAGAGCTGGTCCATATGTGTATATGGACCAGCACACACACGCACACACACACACACACACACACACACACATACACACACACACACTTTGTTGATTGACGGTTGAGAGGCGGGACCAAAGAGCCAGAGCTCAACCCCCGCAAACACAACTAGGTGAGTACACACACACACACACACACACACACACACACACACACAAATATTTGCACTGCAGGCCCAATTAGCAAAGTCATATATACACACATACGCGCGCGCGTGCATATAACTTATTTCCTCAGATCAAACACAAACAAAGTAAGGTAAGGTAATTAACAGGAGAAAGCGTTAAGCATTACGCCTATATACAACACTTGCACAAACAAGGAACAAACAAGGAAACGTCACCAACACACTCGAACCTGTTGTATGTATGATCAGGAATGTACGCAGTGACATTTTAAAAGTACATTACATCACGTACATAAGAACAATTGTTGAGTATGCAGCACCAACTTGGAACCCTAGCGTCTTCAAGCACATTAATAGCGTTCAAAAGCTTACCACAAGTCTAGCACACAAGGTGAAAGACGTGAACTACAAATATATATTAAAACTGAACTTCACGCCAGTGGAGGAGAAACGAATCAGAGGAAACATGATCACTTCATACGAAGTACTAAGGGGCGTGGCTAATGCAATGATGAAATTTAATGACCTAAGGGGTTAAAGGAGGCAGGTTGGTGCTGTGTACATGGACTCAAAAACCCATTTGTGCAAAGGTTAATAGGCAAGACCCTTTAGCTAAAGCTGAAGCTTCCGACAGCTGCTTCACAGTAAACCCCGGACACACACTAGACCCCCGGACACACACTAGACCCCCGGACACAAACCTTGGACACACACACACACACACACACACACACACACACACACACACACACACACTAAACCCTCGGACACACGCACACACACACTAAACCCCCCGGACACACACACACACACACACACTAAACCCCCGGACACACACACACACACTAAACCCGCCGGACACACACACACACACACTAACCCCCGGACACACACACACACTAACCCCCGGACACACTAATCCCCGGACACACACACACACACACTAACCCCCGGACACACACACACACTAACCCCCGGACACACTAACCCCCGGACACACTAACCCCCGGACACACACACACTAACCCCCCGGACACACACACACTAACCCCCCGGACACACACACACTAACCCCCCGGACACACACACACTAACCCCCCGGACACACTAACCCCCGGACACACTAACCCCCGGACACACTAATCCCCGGACACACACACACACACACTAACCCCCGGACACACACACACACTAACCCCCTGACACACTAATCCCCGGACACACACACACACACACTAACCCCCGGACACACACACACACTAACCCCCGGACACACACACACACTAACCCCCGGACACACTAATCCCCGGACACACACACACACACACTAACCCCCCGGACACACACACACACTAACCCCCGGACACACTAACCCCCGGACACACTAACCCCCGGACACACACACACTAACCCCCCGGACACACACACACTAACCCCCCGGACACACACACACTAACCCCCCGGACACACACACACTAACCCCCCGGACACACTAACCCCCGGACACACTAACCCCCGGACACACTAATCCCCGGACACACACACACACACACTAACCCCCGGACACACACACACACTAACCCCCTGACACACTAACCCCCGGACACACTAACCCCCGGACACACACACACTAACCCCCGGACACACACACACTAACCCCCGGACACACACACACTAACCCCCGGACACACACACACTAACCCCCGGACACACACACACTAACCCCCGGACACACACACACTAACCCCCCGGACACACTAACCCCCGGACACACACACACTAACCCCCCGGACACACACACTAACCCCCGGACACACTAACCTTAGACATACAGTGACGATTGAAGCAGACGAACTGGCCAGAGTTGCAGGGAGTGCCATCGGGCAGGTGGGTGGCGATGTGGGGCAGGTCCCTGAACTCGTACCTCGGGGTCCAGAAGCTGGTGCTGTTCTTCTTCTGACAGTAGAGGGCACACGCCTGCCACCCCAAGTCTGAGGGGACAAGGAGGGGTCACTTGCACAGGTCCTGCCCGGGAAGGGGAGGAGGAAGGGGGAGAGGGGTCTGTACATAGATATTCTCCGGGCAGAGAGGGGAACACGGGTAGTAAGGGGAAGCGAGCAAGGGGAGTTGAATATGAAATTTCTATTACGATTGTTTCTCTTAATTTTTTTTCCCTCTTCCAGTCCTTCTTCATTAATTTTCCTTCCCCCTTTCTCTCTCTCCCCATTCCTTCCCATTCCAGTTATAATGGTATATGGAATTTATAGCAGGTAGAGACGGGAAATATTGAGACAGGTTAAATAGACAGGAGGAAGTGATACGTTTCCTGTTTCCTGGTTATTTACAACCAGTTACTTGTGCATAACTACCTCTGGCAACACTGCCTGTCAACAACCCCAGGCAACCCAAGGTGTGACCTGGCCCCCCCCAAGGTGTGACCTGGCCCCCCCCCCCCAAGGTGTGACCTGGCCCCAAGGTGTGACCTGGCCCCAAGATGTGACCTGACCTGCGCTGTAGTTGAGTTGGCGACCCACTCCGTCAATGTCCGGCTTGACCTTAGAGATGACTTGACACAGTTCGCTGGCCAGCTGGTTGACGGTCTTCCTGGGGGTCACACCACACACCTGTAAGAGAAAGGTTAAAGGTCAGGTCATAAGGCAGCCACCTTGTCCGAGTAAAACTAGGAATAGTCAAAGGTCAAACATATATTGTGATTATTGAACCGATAAAGTTCAAATATATATATAATATACCAGCAGTACCCGGCCACGCGTTGCTGTGGCTCAGCAACCTTCCCTGTCCCCCAGTCCTCCCCACCATTCCCTACTCCACCGTCCCCTCTTCCTTCCTATCATGCCCCACTCCCTTGTCCCTCTGTCCTCCCCACCATTCTCCATTCCCCCATCCCCACCATCCCAAACTCCCCCGTCCCCTCGTCCCCACCATCCCAAACTCCCCCGTTCCCTCGTCATTCCCCACTATTTCCCCTCTCTCGTCCGATGCCTTCACAAATGGTCTGATGTTCCCATCAGAAAATTGGGAACATCAAGTGATCTGATGTTCCCATCACTGAAATATAAGAAAAACAGTTAAAAAATGAAATGAAAATATGAAAAAATACAAAAATAAACTATACTCACGAAATAAACGGTATGGTAAACAACATAGCTCAATTGCAATGCAAATCACAAAATAATTAAATCAAAATGAAAATAAATCAAAATCTATGAAAATTCAATTTATCAATGCTATCAGAAACATTGAAATGGAATTTTAACATTTAGTATAGCATGTGTGTTGCTCTTTCATGCAACAGATGGCGCTGTTTTTCAAGAAAACCAGTTTTACCTGTCACAGGTGTGACATCTATACTTACGATATGAACGGTATGGAAACAACACAGCTCAATTCCAACACAATGTCACAAAATAATTCAATAAAAAATAAAGTAAATCGAAATCTATAAAAATAAACTTTATCAATGCAATCGGAAACATTGAAATGGAATTCGTGACATATTTAGTATAGCATACATATTGCTATTATGTGCAACAGATGGCGCTGTTTTTAAAAAACTTCTGTTTATACTTGTCAGAGGGGTGGCATCTATATAGTAGGTATATAAAAACATGCGCCTATTCGAATGCAACGTTGTGTCAAAATTTCAAAGCAATTGGTGAAGAACTTTCGGAGATTACAACGTGTGTGTTGCTCTTACGTCCAACAGATGGCGCTGTTTTTCAAAAAAGAACATTTTTTTTCCTGTCACAGGTGAGGCATGTATATAGTAGGTATATAAAAAGACGCGCATATTCGAATGCAACGTAGTGTCAAAATTTCAAAGTAATTTGTAAAGAGGTTTCAAAGATTTCCCTCACATGACAAACACAGTTTTCAGAAAAAAACGTTTTTTTACCGTCACAGACGTGACATCTATATAGCATGTATATAAAAACCTGCTCCGATGCGCATGGAACGTTGTGTGAAAATTTTAAAGCAATCGGTGAAGTAATTTCGGAGATTAGCGATTTTGAACAAACGATCATTTCCATTTATATATATATATATATATATATATATATATATATATAAAATCAGGTGTGCTGAAAGGTTAAGATTTACATATATGAGGAGTGTTGCAAGGTGTAAGTTCACATATAGCAAGAACCGGGAGATCAAAGGTCACATATATGGAGTACCGGAAGGCTGACATGTATGGGTAGTGGTCACACATGTGAGGGGCGCCGAAGGTCAGTGTTAGCGAGTGTAGGAACAACAGAAGGTCAAAGGTTGACGAGTCTAGTACAAAGGTCACAGATATATAACAAGATGAGGGGAACAGAGCCGGCACCGCCCGGGACCAATGGTCAGAGGTCACCTGTGATGAACCAACAGGGCGGGAGGTGACGTGCAGGGTCGAGCTAGGTACCTAGATGGACACACAGGGTCGAGCTAGGCCCCTAGATGGACACACAGGGTCGAACTAGGCCCCTAGATGGACACACAGGGTCGAACTAGCCACCTAGATGGACACACAGGGTCGAGCTAGGCACCTAGATGGGCTCACAGGGTCGAGCTAGGCACCTAGATGGACACACAGGGTCGAACTAGGCACCTAGATGGACACACAGGGTCGAACTAGGCACCTAGATGGACACACAGGGTCGAACTAGGCACCTAGATGGACACACAGGGTCGAGCTAGGCACCTAGATGGACACAGATACAAAAATACAAAATGGTGATACATAAACATCATGTGTCTCTCTCTCTGTCCTGACTCTTCTGGTAAGTCTTGTGTCGTCTGTAAACATTAATGTGGAAGGGTGAGTTTCCCGTCACGTGGGTGACATTAGAAACATGAGTAGGCTCCACCACCGACCCCCTCCTTGTGCTCGCCTCGTTACCTCTGACCACTCTAACCCCTTTGTTTCTTCCCTGAGGGGTTAGGGCTAAACCACCGTGGGACACTCGAGGACTATGCAGCCTGCCTATCATTCTTTTGTTGAGAAAATCCACTCACTAGGCCTATAGGTGGGGGCGAATCTGCGTGCTAGGTTCTAGGTAGAAAGATAGTCTTGGCGGATTTTCTCATTTGATATTTATCACGTTAATGTGATTTGTGTGTGATTCTGTTTGATTTCTTGTTTGGGGGAACTTCAACATGTTTGTCAAGCAGGAATTTTCCTTCTGCTGTGCCCGTGTTGGTGTTTGGAAACTAAATATTGGCGTTTTAAATGTCTGCTAGACTGCTTGAGGGTCAGTCTGTTTAGTAAGGTGCGGGAGATGCTTGTTTGAGATACTTGTCTGTAGTTTAAAGGTTTGTGAATGTCGTGTGTCTTGCATGTTGTCGCCCCATTAGCCATCTTCAAGCAGCTCGGAAGGTCTCTTGTTTCCGAAGGGAAAATAGCAACTATAATAAGGGAATAAAGAATGTTTCAACAGTGTCCGAAAGATGACAGCCAAGACAGCCTTATTCGGAGGAGGTTGTCAACCTGTCCTCTTACAATGACGTCGCCGTTCGCTCGTATGCGCTACGGCCAAAAAATTGCGTAATTGAAAATGGAAATTTATTTTTCAAATTAAATGTTCCCAAAGCAGCAAGTTTTGGGTACATTTCAAGGAAAATTAAATTACCAGAGGGCCCAAAAAGAGGGTTTTGGGCCCTCTGGTAGGTTAGGAGAGCAGTAAGTTCTTCCAATGTTTCAAAACGTCATGAAAACTTAGTATAAAAAGTGTACTCTCCTAACCTAACAGACTAAGCCAGAGAACCCAAAACAGAAAACGGGAACGTACGTCATTTTCGCGAGCCGCGTCCATTTTGTAGCACGACAATTTTTGGCCGTAGTGCGCATACAAGCGAAAAGCGACGTTATTTCTAAGAGGACAGAATGCTTTGTCAGTTTTGTCGATTCCTGTTACTATTTTGTATATAGTGATCATATCGCCTCTCCTACCTTGTGCTTGCGGGGGTTGAGCTCTGGCTTCTTGGTCCCACCTCTCATCCATCAATCAACTGAAGTACAGATTCCTGAGCCTTCTGGGCTCTTTCATATCTACATATGAAACTGTGTATGGGGTCAGCCTCCATCACATCACTGCCTAACGCATCCCATCTGTTAACTACTGACACTAAAAACGTTTTATAACGTCCATGTGGCTCATTTGGGTTATAGGTTTCCAACTGTTCCCTTGTTCGAGTACCCCCATGGTAAACAATTTATCTTTATCTACCCTGTCGATTCCTCTTAGAATTTTGTAGGTAGTGATCATGTCTCCCCGAGCTCTCCTATCTTCCAGCGACGTTAGGTTCATTTCATGCAGCCTTTCCTCGTAACTCATGCCTCTTAGTTCTGGGACTAGCCTAGTGGCATACCTTTGAACTTTTTCCAGCTTAGTCCTGTGCTTGACAAGGTACGGGCTCCATGCTGGGGCCGCATACTCCAGGATTGGTCTTACATATGTGGTATACAAGGTTCTGAATGATTCCTTACACAGGTTCCTGAAGGCAGTTCTGATGTTAGCCAGCCTCGCATACGCCGCCGATGTTATTCTTTTTATGTGGGCTTCAGGAGACAGGTTTGGTGTGATATCAACTCCTAGATCTTTCTCTCTGTCCGTTTCATGGAGGACTTCATCTCCCATTCGGTATCCTGTTTCTGGCCTCCTGTTTCCACTGCCTAGTTTCATTACCTTACATTTGCTCGGGTTGAACTGTAGTAGCCATTTGTTGGACCATTCATTCAGTTTGTCTAGATCATCTTGTAGCCTCATACTATCTTCCTCTGTCTTAATCCTCCTCATAATTTTTGCATCATCAGCAAACATTGAGAGGAACGAGTCTATTCCCTCTGGGAGATCATTCACATATATCAGAAACAGTATAGGTCCAAGGACTGAACCCTGCGGGACTCCACTGGTGACACTTCGCCAATCTGAGACTTCACCCCTCACAGTGACTCACTGTCTTTTGTTGCTTATGTCCTCCCTTATCCAAAAGAATACCTTCCCTTTCACTCCTGCCTGCATCTCCAGCTTGTGCACTAGTCTCTTGTGTGGTACTGTGTCAAAGGCTTTCTTGCAATCCAAAAATACGCAGTCTGCCCACCCCTCTCTTTCTTTCCTGATTTTTGTTGCCTGGTCGTAGAATTCAATCAATCCTGTGAGGCATGATTTGCCATACCTGAACGCATGCTGATGATGTGTTACAAAGTTCTTTCGCTCCAGATGTTCCACTTGTTTTTTCACACAATCGTTTTCATCAACTTTCATGGTATGCAAGTTAGGGACACTGGCCTGTAGTTCAGTGCCTCCTGCCTATCCCCCTTTCTGTATATCGGGACTACATTAGCAGTCTTCCAAATTTTTGGCAGCTTCCCTGTTACCAGTGATTTGTTATACACTATGGAGAGTGGCAGGCACAGTGCTTCTGCTCCTTCCTTTAGTATCCATGGTGAGATTCCATCTGGGCCTATAGCCTTTGTCACATCCAACTCTAGCAAAAGCTTCCTCACCTCCCCACTGGTAATCCCAAAGTCCTCTAGCGGTGCCTGGTTATCTATTCCCTCTCTTATCTCTGGAACTTCTCCTTGCTCTAACGTGAAGACCTCCTGGAATTTCTTATT